ATCGAACTCGGGTCCTTGTGCTTGCACAGCAGGTGGCGAAACCACTGAGCTAAATCCCCAGCCCTTATAAGAATATTTTGAGGCTTAGATGAAATGGCATGCATGAAGCACTTAGCATGGGGACTAGGACACAGTAGATGGACCACAAGGTCACCGAATCACTTCTCTTGCACTGAACACTTGATCTAACATGTTAAGTCTCCCATCTGTCCTCTCAGGTATGTTACTAGACATTGAAGTTCACAAAGCATCTTGTCCAAAGTTAGCGGTTTGTAGGTGGCCGAGCTGAGATCTAAGATGTGAAGCCAGGATATATTGTCCTAACCACTAGACTCACCAGGGTACAGTGGGCCATGTGCTCTGCTAACTCTTTCATATAGCCAACCTGAGATGAAACATCCAGGGAGACTCGCTTACCACCCATGTGACCTTTGACAAGCGACTTTGCCTCTCCACTCCTCAATGTTTTCCCCCTGCAAAATGGGAAGGTGGATAATCGCTGCATCCTGGAGTTGTGGGTCTTAATTATGAAGTATAAAAAGGGCTCGGTGGTGTCTGGTCCTTTCCAAGTCTTCAGTACACGTGGCAATGGCAGTGATGATAAGGTAATGGTGATGACGATGTGCCTCAACCAACCTTTCCTTCTCACAGCTGACGCGATGCGTGTGGTGCTAATTGGAGCGGGGGTCATTGGGTTGTCTACTGCCCTCTGCATCTATGAGCGCTACCACTCAGTCCTGCAGCCACTGGACCTGAAGATCTACGCTGACCGCTTCACCCCACTCACCACCAGCGACGTGGCGGCTGGCCTCTGGCAGCCCTATCTCACTGGCCCCAGTACCCCACAGGAGATGTGAGTGGGGGTCTCACAGGGTAGTGTGGGGGCTAGGGCTGCAGCAGGACCACTCTCCATCAGGGTTCTCCTTCTTCCTCACCAAGAATGAGTTCCTTAGGGCTGAGGATTTAGCTCAGTGGCACTGCACCTGCCTGGCAAGTACAAGGTCCTTGATCCCTCATACCAGAAATAAAAAGAATGAGTCCCTATGGAAGCTCAGACACATCATGAAGAAAATACTAATGAACTGGATGGTGGCACACACCTGTGGTCTTAGCTCCTGGGGAGGCTGAGACCAGAGGATGCTTGAGCCCAGGAGTTCAGGACCAATATGGGTAACACACTAGAGCCAAAGAAGAAAGGGGTGGAATATTCTTTTCCAGGCTTTGATTTTTTTAGCCTATGAATTCATTTTGAGCTAAATATGTTTTTTTTTGTGAACAGGATACTGTTGGATT